GGTATGTGTGAGATCATGAGATATTGGCCGAACAATGCATATCACATTCTAAGCGATATCACAAGTTCATGAATATCAAACACCAAGCGGTGTGGATCATTGCTAAGCATCTCTTGTAGCGGCAGTTCGATATTGAAGAATCAACAACATGGTCGCTATCTAACAGTTGTTGATATTGGCCTTCACTTGTCGTCAGCTATCTTCTGAATATTTCCGTACCACCAACAACGCTTTCATGAGATATTGGTCGAATAACTCATGGAAATCAAAAAGCGATATTACGGTTTCCTGAATATCAATGTTGGATTCCCAGCAAAACTCATGACTACTCAGCATCTCCTATAACGGTAATTCGATAATTATTGAAGAATGCCTAACATGCGCGGGCTTAACAACTATTAAGCTTACCGTTGACCTGTGGTCAGCTATCTTCTAAATATTCCGTGACACCAAATATATATATATATATATACATTTATTTATTCATTTATTTTGAGATGTTAACACAAAATAGAAGCCACGACATCACATATCGTACAGTACAACAATGCAGCAGGAGACTTCCGGCTTGCAACAGTTTCAGTTACACTGTGCGCGTTCCCCCCACTCCCCAGCAGCACCGATGGTGGATCATGGGGGGGGGCGAGGGGCGAGCATCAAAATAAATAAATAAATATAAATAAATAAATAAATATATATATATATATATACATGTATGTATATGTCTACGCTAATGTATGTATGCACACCAAAGTCGACGAAGCCACGCAGAGATGAACATAATGTAATTACCTTGTGATGCTCGGTAGCCTTAAACTTTTACCGGTCTGTGCACTTAATAAGGTGTGTGATTTCAAGACTGCACCCATCTTAGCTAGTCATAGCGCCCGCAACAACTTGAAGTTTGACATGCTATTCTGCTATTCCGTTTTGGGGCGCTGTTTGGGCCACTCCGATCGTGGTTCAGGGGCAAGCTTCTCCACGGCACTCGCATTGCTCGGAGGGTGGAGGGGGCTGTCCTCTTAAGTAAAGCCGTGGCAAGGGCAGCATAGTCCTAGGTTTTATCCACTGGTGTATGGCTCTTAGTTGTGCTTCCGCCGTGCTAAACAAAAACGAAGTACTATCGGAAATGCTAGATGCACGATCTCGTCGTAGAGGCTGAGGGCTACTGGCCATGCTCCTCCCTTCTCGCAGGCCGAGAGTGCGGAGTTCCAGCCGACCATGTCGGACTCTCGGGAGCTGAGCAGTGCCAGCACGGCTTGCCACTGCTTGGCCTGGCATGAGCATCAGCCAATCGACAAGAGTACCAGTGACAACAGGAGCCCAGTCATAGTTGCAGTCGGAGTCGCCGCAAGAGGAGTTCATTACGAGTACTAGCGATGCCACTGCCTGTGCCTCTGCCATTCCCACTCCCACTGCCACTATCACGTCCCCTGCCACTACTCCTGCTACTGCTACTGCTGCAACAACAAGAACTACTACCACCCTGCTGCTACCTAGTGCCAAAATAGTGCTGGTGCTAGCGCCACTGCTCTTGCTGCTACTGCTACTGCCACTATTACCGCCGCCATCACCACCACGAAGACGACAGCCACAACTAGTGGCCACTACTGCTACTGCTACTGCTACTGCTGCTGCTGCTGCCGCTGCTGCTGCTCTGGACACGGTACTGCTGCTCAAATTTTAAGCCGTGTCGCACGCCGGACGCACTGTCAGGACTTCAGATTTCGGGCTTGTTGTTTCGTCCAAACAACGGCGTTTCTCCTTCTCTGGAAGGGTTTTGGATGTATGGTTCAAGGCATGGGCTGGAAACATCTTCGGATTTAGGGCACAGGGACTCAGGGTCTCTGAGGAGTTGGGAATCGGTTCGGGCTTGGAAAGTCCAGGTTTCCTTCTCGCAGGCCGCCATGGCGGCATTGGTGACGATGATGTTCCTTGTATCAGCTGGATGCTTCGAGATAAGTGCCACTGCACATAGAAGCATGTATAATGCGTGAACAGTACACACATACATCCTATATGTGTGTGCGGAGTGTTTTCATGGCGTGCGCAGTTGAGTTTATCTGTAATTAATTGCTACTGTAGCAGTCTTTTAGGCACCCATCCGTCCATCCATCCATCCATCTATGCATCCATCCACGCACGCCCACACACACACAAGCACACACGAGTCGCGGAGATATGGACATCTACACCAAGCATCCAGCATGCTAGTGCACAACAGCCCAAAGCAACAACTCGAAGCGAGCAAGCTTAACAAGGCTCCTATGCCATCATCTCCTTATACTATTGTCGTTACATGTTATCAGTATCACGGCTGTACCTACCGTTTGAACTTTGCTCCATGGAAACCCACCACGACTCCTAGTGGACCCCTCTCAGAACCTTCAGCTCCAACCAGAACGCACTCCCAGGGTCAATCGCAAGCGACGGCAGCACGCTTCATCCAGCAATGCCACGGCTTTCCTGGGCTACAGTATTTGGCGATTACATCAGCGAGCCACGTTAATACTCAAATCAACTTAAATCTTCTTCCGTCGTCCTAAAGTTCTTACTAGAAATCATGGGAAAAGATCACGGAACGGCAGTGCTTTTGAATAGGTTTTCCTGATCTGAGCGCCACCTCACACCATCTTCGGCCTCGTATGATGCTACCACATCAAAGCCATGCTCCGGCATTCTTCAATCTTCAGTCTTCAGCTACTAGAATTCTTCAGAAACCCTTAACCCCAACTCGTAAGCAACAAGCCCAAGCCTCAACACATGCTGTGTTCATCATAGACCAGGCTTCTTCCATTGCTGCACCCGACCAGCCTGAGCAATGGAAGAAGTGAGCGCCTGGGCGCTGAACCGACAGGACTTGCCTGTTGTGAGGAGAGGCCCACAGATTTCGGGTTGAGGGTTCTCGCTCGGACGTCTGGTGGTGAGCATCATTGCAGCACGCTCTGACTGTTTCCAGTGCCTGCAAGGCTACTGCCTTGTGCATGCTTAGCACCTCAGAGAAAACCCGAAGCCAGGCGGTTTCCCCAAGACACCGCGACTGTCTGAGAAGCCGAAATTCTGAACAGTAGACTGTCTAAACACATGTGTGAAGCAGGCTCCTCCTATGGTTTGCAATATCTTCCCAGGGGTGTGGAGAAGGCATCTTTTGAGGTAGATCATTTGGATGGAAGGATCCTAGAAAGGACCGAGCTGATAACAGTTCTCAAAGGACCCTGCGCAACGCCATGAATGCCCTGTGAAACCCTACCTGAAACTCGCCGGTGCGCCTTCAGTCGATGTTCGAGGCTCCGGTCGGAGGGAGCTTTGCGCCGTGCGGCGCTCGCGAGCTCCATGGGAGATGCGGGAGTTTCTGAACACGGCACCGCTCTTTGGTGGAATACTTCTAGGATCCCGGGCTTGGGGCATACAAGAGAGGAGCACACTTTCAGGAACTCCCATTGGCGAAAGCTCCAGAAACCATGCCGGCTTGCGATGGATCTCCGAGTGAATTAGACAAGAATGGTGGATAGTCTTCTGCTCACAGCTGGGGCTTAGGGGTCCATCAGGATCCCCCGACCCCCACCTGCCTGGCTCAGCGCCTTCTATCAGATCAACCTCACAAAGAACAGGCTCATGTACAGTCATGGAGCCAATGCTGAAGATGAAGTCTCTTCTGCGGCCGCCCTGTCGGGAAAGCGCCGAATCATTAAAAGTATGAAGCGAAGGAAGACCTTCGGCTTCAGTCAGCTGGCAGAAAAAGACACAGACACAGCCGGCAAGGCGCAGCATTTTGAGAACCTCGATGCACTCGCGCGTGGCGACCTCGGTTGCCAGCTCCAGCGTCTGCAGGAACATCAAAGGCACTCCAGGAGCTTTCTCCTTGCAAAGCCCAAAGCAGCGGTTGGGGTTTCGGCTGAGGCTTCGAAGCGTGGACGCAGGTTAGAAGTCTCGGGCTAAGTGTTCCTTGCTGAGGTTATAGGAACCTTTCGACCGCGTTGAGGGTTTGGAGCTGAAAGCAGCCATCCTCAAGACATTCCTTCCTACCTGCAAGATGCTTAAGCAGATCTACGGAACCGGTGTAATTTATGACATGACTTAAGCTGCACAGAATGCCCAATCAAAAATGATTTGGAGACTATATGGTAAGATCCGATTTGGTTCGAATTTCTTGACGGGCCTGAACTTGAACATGCAAGGGCTCCGATACACCAGACGCCCGAAACCCAAATGGTTCAGGCTTGAAGATTTCTATTTCCCAAAACCTGACTCCATGAGCGCACAAACTTCGAGCCTCAGACGTCTAATTCGCTATAACATGATATGGGAACCCGAGTTTCATTCAAGTCCTCTCCACTCCAGGCCCGAATCCTCGAACACATCATGACACCGAGGTACTTCTGCAGCTACCAGGCACTCGCAAACGGCCACATCAGGTGCCAGCTGCCCTCGTGACAATGTGGATACAACGTCCACCTAACTGTCGGATTCTGGACATTGGAACTTTAGGGTTCGGGAGTTTAGGATTCTAGAGGGACTATTTGTGGTGCTATAGACTTACAACACCAGGACTGTGCTGAAACTGAACAGCTGTTCGATGTTGAGAACATGACGACATGTCAAGATCAATAGGTATGTGCCTTGCCAAGTACCACTGTTGATGATGTAAAATGATGCCACTATCTCAGCAGTGACAAAAAAGTAATGCTCGTGCTGATGAAACGTCGTTGTGCTTGAAAGAACAGTGCTGCTGTGTACTAACTACCGGTTAAGATTGTGATAGCGTGCTATACTACCTAAGCTGAAAGTGGTAGACCGCGACAAGGGTGGCATACTGCAATCACAGAAGGACGCCGCTACTTGTCAACATGACAGAAGCATCGGCTGCGTCAGTGGTACAGACATCTCAGAACCGTTTGCAGCGCTGTGATAGCATAGGACGAAGAAATATGGACGAAACGCCTGTCCTCAACATATCATGATTTTGATGTGATCGTCTAACCATTGATTCGGACTGTTTAGTGCAGCCTGGCTGCTGCAGCTTGCCATACGGCAGTCTTCCCACAGCTTCCAACAACGGCGACAGCGGCAGCAAGATCGGTTTGGACGGTGCTCCTGCGATGCTTGATTGCAGATGTAAGCTGATGCAGGTTATGCCCTGATCGCTATGTGACCCTCGAAACATCGACGATGCTCGTATGACGAGAACAACAACCATCATTACCATGGCCTGTGGACTGTTGCGGCACGCCGGCTTCTCCACGTATATCGCCCCTAAGTGCTGTCTTCCGGCAATGACCGAATGACCCTGTAGCTGATTCAGGCCAGCCCTAAGTCTCGTTACTCACTTTACGCTCCAGGCATTCGAACCCGAAAGCGTCAACCCAAAAAGCCGAAGGCCCGACATGTGCTGCTCCTTCGCATCCCTTGCAGCAGGCGAAGTGCCGAGGACCACGACCCACGCGCCTAACGCAGAAGACTTTAAGAACGCGGAAGGGCTTAGGCTTGGATGCTTTAAGGTCATCGTGTTTCACGGCCCAGGGCTGACAACCATGGGTTTCGGGGCAACTAGTGCCCGTCTGGTTGGGGATTCTGCTCGGGTTTCGGGGTTCTTCGACCGCCGGCCGCCGCCAGCTTCTCACGTAGGCCTCCGAAAGCTGCATCATTCACAACCGGTCCCGTCCGGCAATTTGGGCGAACCGCTTCCCTGAGCTCTCGGCCTCTGGGCTTGATGCCAGAGCCATGAGCTAGCCGATGTTGATACTCTTGTGCTCTTTTTCCATTCACATGGTGGTCGCGCCGCCCTTACCTTTTCAATGTTCTTGCCACTCTGCTACTCTGAGTGCATTTATTCTGTCTAGACTGGCCGCAAAAAACCGAAGAAACCCAAAGGAGATGTCGCCAAGTGCTCCCACAAAAACCGAATCGGAACTTCATGGAAGCACCTGGCACCGGCACCTCCCGCAGGGCCAAGGCGACATTCTGGGCGGCTCGTCCAATCTCCAAGCGCATAGCCTGCGGGGTCGATGCCGGTTTTTGGGGCTTCTAAGGGCTTGGGGCGGCTGCCGTGCTGGTGCCTGGGGGCACTAGAGATGAGATTTAGGCTACAGCATTCTTGTGTCAAGAAAGGAGCGTTCTGAAGAAGCCAGCTTTTCGGCTCTTAACTCTTATCGCTGTTGCTGTATGCCTGGGTAGACTCCAAAATACTCGAGTACAGCAATTTGCCGACCCCATAAGCCCGAAAGCTCGAATCCAGACAGCATGCTCCCTGCCTTCATGTCTTTCAGCAGTCTCGCCACGGCTCTGAATTTGGAGGACTTGATGCAGGCCAGCAGCATGGCAGTGTACGCTACTGAATCTGCACACCTCGACGGGTTGAGGGCTTCGGGTTTTATTGAGGTCTGAATGGGGAAAGGTTTTCGGCCTGATCAGGCCGCCGTGCAAAAGTTTGCGAAGGGATGCTCCGCTGCTTGCTGTCATCAAGAGCTCGGGTGCGGCACCATCACGGAAGGTCGAGTGAACCCCTTGGCTTATGCGGAACTTTGACCAAGTTTGGATTGGCGCGAGCCTGTACGTGCCCCGTAGCCCACCCGATCCTTCAATTTCTGGAGGCCCGAAGGCCACAGAGAGCCACAGAGACTAAGCCTAAACCCTGGGATTCAACGCTGCAATCTTCTTGGCGTCCGCCTTTTCGTCGAAAAACGAGTTCAGCGGTCGATCGCTGTCGGGCATGGTGTTCTAATTCTAGGCTCCTGGGTGGCGTTCATGGAGTTGCTTGTATCGTATTTCAAACGGTAGTCTGTAGGGCTGATGACCGAGGCCTTGATCCCGACCCGTTTGGAAATGCCAGATTCACGCCTCCCTGCATCCTGCAACCTCAATGACCCTGCAAGCCTTCGCCCCCCCAAAACTTTCTTGGATCGTGCAGCCTCCTTCCAAGGCATCCCCCAACTCCAGCCGAGCAGCCCTGCAGACCCGCGACCCTGGCGTCGCAGCTCAGCCAGCAACGTCAGGCCTGCCCTTGATTTCGAAGGGAGCTTAGACTAGTGAGGGTTTCGGAATCTTGGGTGCCTCGGCCTAGTCTTCGTAGTTCCCGCAGCTTCAGGATAAATAGTGCTGATGGCTCTGGCTGGCAAGGGCAAAGAGGCGGCCTTGCCAGCGGACTCCGTCCCTCATTCCTCGAGTGCGGAGTCAACCTGCAAAGCCGCCCTCGGGCTGCCGTGATCCAAAAAAAACTCTTATGTTTAAATGGATTCAAGATAGAAAGTATCAGAACTTCCTATCCCTAATCCAAAGCACATGGAAGAGCCCGCTTGCTCCCTACCACTTTGCACATGCTATAACACTTAAGTAAAGCATGGACTAAAAGACTGGGTTTCGACTCTCTCAGGCTTTAAGGCTTCAAGAGCGCCCTGCTTACAAGCAAGGCAATCCGTTGTCGACACGGGCGTGGCTGCAGGAAGGGCTTGCAAGTTGTCCCAAATGATCACATCGCTCGGCCCGTGATGGGATTACGTCCACTGCGAGACAGGACTTTTTGTGAACAGCGACTGGAATGTCTCCACGTCTAGCTGACGCTACTGATCCTCGAGGACTGACAACTTCGAGCCCATCAGAAGCTTCTCTGACCTGTCAGGGGTGTCGGTGGAGCACGGGCGCATGCTGGTCCGGTCATGTCTCCGCATCTTCCGTGGTGAAGTCTCGCGGCCTGTTTCCGAACCGGCATGAAGCATAGGCCCCTGGCCTTGGCATGCAGTAAGGGCAGAAGAGCTGAAGCAGCCACAAAACCGGTACTGCCTCCCTTCTCCGAATCTTGCCCGCGCACAAGACGGTGAAGATGCGTCTTTCCGACATCCTGATGTAGTCACCGTCTTGATGCCACACCTTCGCCCTCTGATACAGTGCGCAGATGCCTTCTCCAAGCTCTGTCGGGTATTCAACAGGACAAGACTGTGCTTGGCCCAGATCCTTGAGGTTTGGCCTTGTAGTCTAGCGCCGGACCTCAGAGGAAAAGCTGCGGAAACTTCCGCCCCGAAACAAAGGCTGTTGTGGCACTGGCCCTGTGCTCTATCTTGCGGACGCCCGTCTCCGAAGAGCATGTCTCGTGGACCACCGCTTTTTTTGCAGCTGTACTCGTGGTTCCTTTCCAAGGTTCCGCTGCAGCATCTCAAAAGCTCCCGTCGGCTCGTAAGCATCGTTGCTGGCTGCCATTCTCGAGATACCACGCGTGGCCGACCCGATATGGCCTCCCAGGTCTAGCAAGCGGTCCCCCCTTCGGGCCATGAAAAGCCCAGCGGCACCAGAGAGCCTGTAGACCTGTCTCTTGAAGACCTCGTAGATCACTTCGACGTCGCGGTCCTCGCCGTGTGTTGTCCGGAGAGGGCGCGGACTGCGACTATGCACCTCGGTGAAGTAGGTTCGCACGTCCTCCATCTGATAGCCAATGCATACCCTTGGAACGGCGGGTGAAGGCGCGGGCGTCACTCACTCTCTTCCTCAATTTACTCACTCACGCACTCGCTTGCTCGCTCACTGATTCACTCACTCACTCACTCACTCACTCACTCACTCACTCACTCACTCACTGACTCACTCACTCCATTTACTCACTCAAGCACCCCCTCGTTCGCTCACGAACTCACTCACTCACTCACTCACGCCATTTACTCACTCAAGCACTCCCTCGCTCGCTCGCTCGCTCGCTCGCTCGCTCGCTCACTCACTCACTCACTCACTCACTCACTCACTCCATTTGCTCACTCAAGCACTCCCTCGCTCGCTCGCGAACTCCCTCACTCACTCACGCCATTTACTCACTCAAGCACCCCCTCGCTCGCTCACGAACTCACTCACTCACTCACTCACTCACTCACTCACTCACTCACTCACGCCATTTACTCATTCAAGCACTCCCTCGCTCGCTCGCTCGCTCGCTCGCTCGCTCACTCACTCACTCACTCACTCACTCACTCCATTTACTCACTCAAGCACTCCCTCGCTCGCTCGCGAACTCCCTCACTCACTCACGCAATTTACTCACTCAAGCACCCCCTCGCTCGCTCACGAACTCACTCACTCACTCACTCACGCCATTTACTCACTCAAACACTCCCTCGCTCGCTCGCTCGCTCGCTCGCTCGCTCACTCACTCACTCACTCACTCACTCACTCACCCAAT